CGAAGCGACGTATACTGCGAAGCGACGTATACTGCGAAGCGACGTATTTATGGATTTTTCCACTTTATTAGACATTTTTGGGCTGATGCGACTTATAGGGCGGTGCGACGTTTACAGAGGAAAATACAGTATGTTTTAAATACATGAAAGTGTTTTTTTCATTTAGTTAGCTTGTAGCATTTTATAAACTGATGGAAATTTAACATTTAGAAGTTTTATATCTTGCTAACATGAAAAGCAGGTGATAATGCAGTCTCCTGCGTATGCAAGTTGTTTACCTGTTAGCAAAATATCTTGAACCAACAAGCGGATCTAAATGACATTTTACGGAAGTAATCACTGGATTAGATCTACAACTGATTCACTTTTGGAATCAGTTTGATTCAGGATGGCTTCCACTGCTAATCAACCCAGGTGAACACAAAAATGGCTATAACTCCATCATTTTTAATACATTAGGCTAAAATTGCATGTGGTAGTAGCTGAGAGTCATCCACAACATGTTCTCTGAGCTGTAACAAGACAAACTCTTTGTTTAAAGCCTTGACATGCATGGCACCTTCAAAAAATGCCACTTTCCTTTGTGAAAGTTTTCTAATTGTGCAGCACTATCCCCCCCCCCCCACACACACACACACACATTTTGTACCATACTGTAAGACAATTAAAAAATCAATACAACATAACAAAACTTTGTTTAGAATCTGTTGCTTTATCCACAGTCACATTCTGCTTGTTGCATATTTTTATAAGCACCACATAATGCTGACACTTCCACCCTGTCTGGACAGACAAGACAAAAGCAAAACTGAGCCAATTCTTACAAGTCTGAATTACACATCTTTTTTTTTTATTATTATTATTCATCACCGCATCAACACCAATCACACTGTGTGGCATGGGAACGCAGCACTCCATTCCCTAACCCTCTCCCCGTTCTTCCCCGTCGGCCTGTGAGTGATAGATAAGAAACGATTAAAGAAATGAGAATATGGAGCGGGAACGAAGCGAAGTCAGAGGAGGCGAGGGTAACGCGGTGAAGATAGGCGGGGAGGGAGAAGGTGGCGGGATGCAGAGATAGCAAAGCTCTGGGATAGAAAAGAGGAAAAAAGGAGGTGATGGTAGCCAAGGGGGAAAGCACGAAGAGAAGAGATGAGGAAATAGAAGAGATAGTAGAGGGCCACGGGGATCATGAGATAAGGCTGAATCATCTTTTAAGTGATGACCTTAAAAACACACATTCAGCTGGATGCCAAACCCCCGGGCCTTGACTGTGAGTGTGTCAGAGTGTGTGTAGGTGTTTTCATTTGGACATGTGCTTTAGGACACCGCAAACCACTCTGCGTTTGCAAAAACACTGAGAGTGGCCCTTTTAGCATGACGGGGTTGTTAGCTTTCATCTTTCTGTGAAAGAAGGGGCATCAGACGAAACACACACATATTATCAGGCGTCCTCTTCTGCTGTAATGTTAATTAAAATTGTACAAAATATACAAAGAATCACTCAAGCTAACGAACTTCCTTTATCCAACAAAGTTAAGTCGGGTCCGCTGGATGGTTTCTTTTTGTTGAAACGTTTTGTCTTTCATCCACAAGACTTCTTCAGTCCGAGGAGCCACAACAAACTCAGTCTTATAAATAGCACCTTCACATAGTGAGTCAACCTGTTTGATGGTAATAAGATGGTTCTGGAGCTCGCCCTCTCCCCCGTCGACTCCTCTGAAGCAGCCGTGGCCAAAGTTTACCTGGATTATTGAGCATGAACTTTGGTGGTTTGAACCACTTTGGCCATGGCTGCCTTCGAGAAGTCGACGGGGGAGAAAAAGACAAAGAGGAAGGGAAAAGAGAAAGTATGATGGATGAATTTGAAGAGGACATTGAGGTAGTTGGAATGAGGACAGAGTGAAATCAAGGAGGTTGACTCGCTGTGGCGACTCCTGAACAAGTCCTCTGAAAGCCATATCTGGCCTCCGAGTTCAATCCATCCAACACAGAAATCACTCAATTATTAAAAAAAATAGGCATGAGCATAGCAGCTCCATTAACCTCCACTGTTTAAAACTGAACCAGAATGTCAGTTTATTGGGAGTTACCATGTTGTATTATTGGAGATAATTTGCACTAGATACATGTCATAGTGCTGTCAATGCAAATGTCCCCACACACCCTGGTTTAGCTTTTAGTACTACTTTGTACGTCTAACTTACCTTTTCATACTTTTAGCTAACCTTTTCTTGTTTTACGTTGTAGCCAGTCACTTGATATTTTTAGTGTGAAGTATTCTGCTTCTTTTGCTTAAGCAAAGAAAGTCATTCAGCTTTCAGCATCCATGCTGCATTTTTGCAAAAAATACAATTTCACTAATCTCAGTTTATTTTATTTGAGCTATCTTTTTTTTTCACAGTTTGCTACTTCCAAAAGATGTAGTTTTTATTTATTTAGATATAAGAAAAACAACAGATGGACTATTTAAAGGTGGTTTAAAGAGACTGAAGTGGCAGTGTGAAGACACAGTTGTACTTCTTTCATTTATTATTTTAGTTCTCGGGGTTTTGTCCATTGTGTGTGTGTGGGGGGGGGGGGGGTTGATATTTTCTTTTTAATCTTGTTTTCCTATCTGAAAATCATTTCCTCTTTAATTTGACTTGCTGCGCTCAGCCCATTGACCTGTTACTCTCCTGTTTTTTTGTTTCATTCAGCAGTTTGGTCCCTCTGTGAGCTCCCTGCGCCTCGCTGCTGTTTTAGCTGCCTTTCTGTCTCGCTGTTTATTTGCTCGGCGTCTGTCGGCTTCTTGCTTACGCCTCTTCTGTTTCTTTGTGTCAGTGTTTCTCCAGCTGTCAGAGTTTCTCTCTCTCTGTAAGTCACTTTGTCCCTTTCCTTTCTTCTCTCCTCCAGCATCATCTGTCATGTAGCCTCTACATTAACGTCCACATGTGTCTCCGTTTGCTCTCATGGCTTGCATGAGCATGGCTGAGTGAGCTTGTGTGTGTGCGTGTGTGTGTTTACTCAACCCAAAGCTGCGTGTTTGTGTGTGAATGTCTGAATCATCACAGTCCTTCTGTTTGGGGTCTAGCGCATTCCTCACTAATCTAATTTTGTTTTGACTATAATAACAGATATTGGAAAAACATCTTCAATATCTCAACACTAATTCCTTCATATCGTGGACCATGGGCTTCCATTAACAACTGACAATGTGGAGGAATGTGCACTTACTTTTAACACATTTTGTCTGTTTAACACATTTGTGGAGGATCTAAACGATTGTTATTCCCACTCATTACATGCATTTTTGTCCAAACGGGTCATGTTTCCAGTCACCTTTAATGGTAAGATGGTTTGGTTGAATGTTGATGTGTCTCAGGTCCCTTCAGAGGACTGGAGCGGTGGATACGGCGGTGGCGGAGCGGCGGACAGCGGAGGGGAGATCCCCTGCCGTCGAATGCGGAGCGGCAGCTACATCAAAGCCATGGGTGACGATGACAGCGCCGACTCGGAGGCGAGCCCGAAAGCCTCGCCTAAGTCTACTTTGATTGCCCAGAGAGATGCCTTCAGACGTGCCATCAGCATGGATCAAAGGTCAGAGGTCACACACTCTGCTTCACATAAGAGCCGGACGCTCCAGACTTACCTTTGCACTAAGCTAGGCTGACAAAATGCTGACAATTAGATGTCTGTATAAGTGTAAACACAACCAAGATTAAAAAAAAATAGTAAGATCACCATGGCAACTACACACCTGTGTCCGTCACTCCCTGATTGTGCTCTTAATAAGCAGAAGATGACTGAGTAATAAGTCTCTAAAAAACAAAAGAAGTAATGCTAAAAAATGTCCTTGACTGCGCATCGCAAGATTGACCGATCGTAACAAATGTTAATTTTTGTGTCTACACTGTTTCATTCAGAAGATTTGACCGTTTAAAAAGATCCTTCGCTTCTAGCTTCGATGAAGCTTGTTTCTGAGCTTAGTGGTCATGGAAGTACCGTAATTGCCGCCGTACACGTCGCTCCACCGTATAAGCCGTATCAGTCCAAATATATCTAACGAAGTGGGGAAAAAACATAAATATGTCGCTTTGCTATATAAGTTGCATCTATTATGCATCACCATTGACGCGTCGCGTTTGTTACGCGTCACCGCTGTCAACCTGGAAATGTGGGCCGAACCCAGAAATGTGGGCCGTTGTTGGGCCAAAAATCAATTGGCTGCCAAATGGCAGTCGCGGGAGCATGCACTGGAGGACTTTAACAAGAATTTAACAAGATTAACACTTAAAACAATTATTTGTTTGCTAGAAATTATAGCAAAGGTGTGACTCAGTTGAACTTTTCCTTAATAAATGCACTTTGATGTCAAATCAGCTGCATTTCACCTGGGTGGCACAGCGAAATGCAGCTGATTTTATGTTTGTTCCAGGAGATCCAGGGTGAGATGAAGGTGGTTTGGTATGACAAGCCAAGTGTCTCATTAATAGACACTTTTACCCATTAATGAGACACTTGGCTTGCCATGTTACTCGAGTGCCCTCTAGCGGCTGAAAATGGTAGTGTTCAATATTTTCCATGTCAGAATGAATGAAATTTTCAGATCTCGGACAAAAATTGGGTTATAAATATGGGGTAAACATAAATACATTGCTTCACTGTATAAGTCACAGGCATACTAATTTATGCAAAAAAACTTCTACATATACAGCGAAAGCCTCCCTGGTAAGGTCTATTCGGGGGTTCTGGAGAGGAGGGTCCGTCGGATATTTGAACCTCGGATTCAGGAGGAGCAGTTCAGTTTTTGTCCTGGTCGTGGAACACTGGACTAGCTCTATACTCTCAGCAGGGTCCTGGAGGGTGCGTGGGAGTTTGCCCAACTGGTCTACATGTGCTTTGTGGACTTGGAGAAGACGTTCGACCGCGTCCCTCGGGGAACCCTGTGGGGGGTACTCTGGGAGTATGGGGTACCAGGCCCTTTGATACGGGCTGTTAGGTCCCTGTATGTCCGGTGTCAGAGCTTGGTCCGCATTGCCGGCAGTAAGTCGGGCTCATTCCCGGTGAGAGTTGGACTCCTCCAAGGTTGCCCTTTGTCACCGATTCTGTTCATAACTTTTATGGACAGAATTTCTAGGCGCAGCCAAGGTGTTCAGGGGATCTGTTTTGGTGTCCTTAGGATCACGTCTCTACTTTTTGCAGATGATGTGGTCTTATTGGCTTCATCAGGTCGTGATCTACAGCTTTCACTGGAGCGGTTCGTAGCCGATTGTGACACAGCTGGGATGAAGATCAGTTCCTCCAAATTTGAGGCCATGGTCTTGAGCCGGAAAAGGGTAGAGTGCCCTCTCCGTGTCAGGGAGGAGGTCCTGCCCCAAGTGGAGGAGTTCAAGTATCTTGGGGTCCTTTTCACGATTGAGGGAAAAATGGAGCGTGAGATCGATAGGCGGATAGGTGCAGCATCTGCAGTGAAGCGGGCGCTGTATTGCTCTGTCGTGGTGAAGAGAGAGCTGAGTCAAAAGGCAAAGCTCTCAATTTACCGATCAATCTACTTTGTACGTTCCTACCCTCATCTATGGTCATGAGCTTTGGGTTGTGACCAAAAGAACGAGCTCTCGGATACAAGCGGCCGAAATGAGTTTTCTCCGCAGGGTGTCTGGGCTCTCCCTTAGAGATAGGGTGAGAAGCTCGATCATCTTTGAGGGACTCAGAGTAGAGCCGCTGCTTCTTCACATCGAGAGGAGCCAGTTGAGGGGGCTCAGGCATCTGGTTAGGATGCCTCCTGGTTGCCTCCTTGGTGAAGTGTTCCGGGCACTTCCCACTGGGAGGAGACCCAGTGGAAGACCCAGGACACGCTGGAGGGACTATGTTTCTCAGCTGGCCTGGGAACACCTTGGGATTCCCCCGGAGGAGCTGGCCCAAGTGGCTGGGGAGAGGAAAGTCTGGGCCTCCCTACTTAAGCTGCTACCCCCGCGACCCGACCCCGGATAAGCGGAAGAAGATGGATGGATGGCTGGATGGATGGATGGATATACAGAGAAAATTACAATAAATTATAGTTTGGATGTGAAACCAAACTTCAAGTTCTTTGGCAGTGAAAGACACGCTGAGGGAAAGAAAATAAAAATTGCCAAGGTTTTGATGTATGAAATATGACGCTGAGGAGTGTAGGAAGTGTTTAGCTTCATAATATTTGAAATGTTTAGGCCACTCACAAGTTAGTGTAAGACAATATTACACTTTATATTTTATACTTCATATTTTTGCTATTTTTTTCTGTAACTGGGACCTTGAGTACACAATTTCGTTCCACTTCACGTACTACATGTGATACGAATGACAATCAAGAACCTTGAACTTCAAATGAACGTTTAGTGGTTAAACTCTTAAAATATAATTAAACATAAACTGTGTGGGATTCCTGGTTTCCCTCTGTCTGTTTGTGTCTGTTTGTGTCT